ACTGATATTAATATCTTTGCTGACCTCTTCTGGCAAATCTGAAAAATCAGCCAGAAGATGGCAGATTTGATTGATTATTTTTCCCAAGAAGTCCCTGGGCTTTCCCGGGTTGCCTGTCTGAGAACATTTTTCAGTATTCCGAAAGTTATTTTTAAATTCCACATTTTTCTTTAACATCTCTACCTCCTTCTTTCCTCCATTCTCTTTTATGAAACTTTACAAATCTTTATCCTCCTTTCCTCTCTCAGATTTTTGGCTGTTCCTGTATCCACAGCCAACATCCCTCACTGACTCCATTTCTGAGCTGCAAAATCATGCAATCCTTGCAATAGGGCAATTGGAAAGTCAACGGTCACCTTGGGCTGGAACAGTTTTGGTGGGAAATGAAGAGGAGTATCCATCTTGCTGTGGGTGAAAAAATGAATGGACAGTATGGGAAAAATAACAGTGGGTATGTACTTCCATTTGAGGAAACTTAGCAAAGAAGTAAAAATAAGATTGAAGGATAACTTAATGGTTAATCAAGAATAAAGAAAGTATATTCATTCATTCACTCATTCATCTATTCATTGGTTAGGGTGTCTGGTGGCCATGCAAATGCACCTCTCATATCTCTAATGGCAGGCAGTGTAACTGATGGACAGATCCAACTGTTGTGCTCTGAAATCCTTGCCTTGTCTTCATTCGGGCCGTGCTTCCCATGGGCTGCTCTCAGCTGATGACTGTGGGTGGCAGAGGCACCAAGATAGGTCTGTTCCCAGGAGATTCAGGACAGCTCAGATGGCAACCCAAGCTCAAGAACAACTGAATGGCCTTGTTGAACTTCATTAGGACTGCCTTGTAGTCCAAGACTCCTTCACTCAACTTTTTTACCTGCCCTCTCTCCTTCACAGAGCCCACACCTGCACAGCAATCTGGCGGCTCTCCCTCATATCCCAAGCCCAGGATTCCTCCTTTCTCCCTTGTAGGCATTTTCCCTCAGAAATTTCTTGGACTTCTCAATCTTCTTGGTGTCTGCTTCTTGGAGACCCAGTCTAACACAGACTGGAATAGACTTGAGCATGTTTGATGGATAAGAGAAGAGCAGGAGTGGAAGACGAATACTTTATTTCTCATCTTCTCTCTTGCAGATTTCTTTCCAAACTTTCTAGTTTGGGTCTATCTGCCAGCCACGTGACCTGCTGTCTAATCACAACTTTCCTCTCAATATCTTCATTCTTCCAGTGTGATCCCTGACCTTGTCCCAACTCTGAACTTCCCGTCTAGCTTTCAGCCTAAGTAAACCAAAGCCATCTGAGCAAAATCAGTGGACTCCAAAATTGGCAGCTATCATACCCTCCTAGGGTTTTGTTTCCATTGCGGAAATATCATTTATTTTCTGATTGCCTATATAATGACATATTGAAATGAACATTTTTGTTGTCATAGAATTTCAAAGGCCAAAGCTCCGGAAATAGGTGTTAAGTACCACAAATTCTAAAGAAGTGCCAGGCACACCTCTGCAAGGCTTATTAAAAATGGAATGACAATCAATTGACCTTCATTTCACCACCCATCCAGGCTATAAAGACAAAAGACTACATTTACTAGAGGGAAGAATTGATAAGGGTGGAGTTCTGTAGTTCCCCCTCCCACATGCCCTAGGCAAGTAAAGGCAGTCTCCAAGATGAAACTCCTAGAGAGATTAGCGATGCAGCAGTGATCTGTTACTCATCCCCTCCCTGATTGGATGCAAAATCCCACGGACCCACCGTGGTGCCACTGGAAGAGCTGCACGGTGATCGAGTTCCAGGAGGAGATGAATGCCTATTCTCAGAGCTTGAGAGAGCAAGGAGAGCTCTTGCCTTGTCAAAGGTGGGCATGATAGCAAGTCTGCGTTTCTATCATTGATACGGCCAAAGGGGCCAAGTGGATGCCATGGAAGGTATGAGCCATACTGAAGGCTCCTGGTCCGAGAGGGCTACTTCCTTGAATGAGGACGTTCCAGCACTGAGAGGCTGTAAGTTGAACAAACAGTGCAGGCATTGGAAAAGGATCACGAAGCAATGTGAAATGCAGATGTCCTTTCAGGATATCTAAAGAATCCACAAATGTGTCCAATGAGAAAGATGACATTTGGACCCCTGCCCCACAATGGGCATCAGCACTAAGAAAAGGATAAACAGCTCCAGACAAGTAAAAGGACTTCAGTCCCTTTCCCCTTAACCTCCTCTTCCCTGTCTTGATACCAGAAGACTCAGGGCAGAGATGGAAGATTGGAGTAGACCAGCAAGGAGGAGTGAAAGAGCAAACTATTCCTGATCTCCACCTACAGGTCTGTAAGCGGCAGGTCAGACGTGACCAGGGGAGAAGAAACTCTTTAAATGAGATGCAGCATTAAAGTTATAATACACACTGAGATGCACAATTTAACACCTGATAATGGGTCATCATGAACAGTATGAAGCTGTTTTTATAACCAAAGTGACTAGAAAATTGCAAGATCTGCCTTAAATATCACACAGAGGAAGGGAAGGGAGATCTCATGGAGCATGTTGGAAGCAAAGGTTGAAAGAAAAATAAAGCCATTTCCTATTTCTATTACATTAAATTTAGTTCGTTTAGTAAATAGGCTACACACACTTTGAAATGTCCTTATGTAAAAAGGCATGGATTAAAAGGCCCAGCCTAAGCAAGTTAATGGAAGTGTTGTCAGGACCTGTCAGTCTTCTTTAGGAACAAGGATTTTACCTTACCTGGGCCTCCTCCAATTTTGTGAATATCAGATTGACAACCCCCACAGATCACTGTATTCTCTAAGACCACACGTACAAGGCTCACACAGGGAACGGTGGATTCCCTCTTCTCTTACTATCAATAAGCATCTCTTGTGATTTGTCTCTGATACTGCAAGACCAACCATTCTGATCTGGCCAGTGCTGTGTACATTCAGAAATAGGAAAGCGTACTGTTCTATTTAATCATCACATATAATTTTAAATATTACCCAGTTACAATAAATTAGTGGTTGCTTGGCAACCAAAGAGCTGAGATTTTGAAAGGAAGGACTCTGTTACTGTTCAAATCAGAACAGCAAGATTTGTTGAAATATCCTGAGTTCTGTTCAATGCTTTACAATGGAACCAAACCCTGGGGCAGACAAAGAGAAAAACAAGGGAACACTCATATTTTACAGCTGAGTTAATTTTAGAAGAGTAAAGAGGAAATAAATTGCATCTCATATCCCAGCTTGGGTTAGAACTGCCTAATTTGAGAACAAGTACTAATTAGCTGAAAGTAAAGCTCAGCTGTGAGTTGGCTAAAAATGGGATCTCTTGCAAAAATATACTATAAAACTGGATGCGGTGGATCTGATTCACTTTGCATGTGAAAACTGGACTCATACTGACAAAATATCATGTGAGGAAAGAGTTTTGGAGCATTTTGAAAAATTTAAGGCATTTGGTTAGAGAAATGACAAGCTAGCTTGCCTATGATATATCCAGAAATAAAATCCAGACTGGCATTTTCGGTTCAGATTCTTTTGATGAGTGTGTTTCTAGCCAACATCAACTTGATCAGCTAAGGGTCAGTCTAAGAACCAAGCAAAGGATCTAGGAATAAGAACAATACTTTTAATAAAAGAAAGGAAAGGGAGACAGACTTTGGGTAATTTGGAAGCTTTTCCAGAGGGTTTTGGGAATCATATATAAAGCTTTGGAGAAAATTTAAGCAATCATTTCAAAGCCTTCCATTAGTAGCCACTCAAAAGTATTCAAATAACTGAATGGTGAATTAACCTCTATTTTATTTCGAAAATCCTCCATACTTAACTTTTGATCAAATTAAAAATTCTACTGGAGCAAGCAAGGTAGTTTGATGTTTAAGTTAATTAACCCTTTGTTGTGACTTTCTGCATTAGTCATAAAAATAAAATTTCTTATAATGTTGGAGAGGCCATCCTTTTGATGTTAACATTTCTTAATCACACACGTGGATAACATACTCTGCAAAGATACACCAGATGCTGGCAAGACAGGGCCGCCTTAGGGAGGGGAAAGCAGATGCTGGGCGGGAGGGCCATTGCTTTTCACTCACTCTTTTTGTTTTCATTTGCTTTTCACTTGCTCTTATACTTTCTTTTTGAACTTTACACCATACGAATTTATTAATAATTCGACAAAGAAATGATTTAAAATAAACATTAATATTAAATTTTAAATGCAGGTGATTCAAAGAAAAGCAACACGATGTGGAAAGAACAGGATGTGGAATTAGACACCTGAATTTGAATCCCATCTTGGCGTTTGAGTACTTAGGAGAATGTGGGCAAGTTATTCAGCATCTCTGCATCTCTGTTTCCCTTGTCCTCAACGTGGGACTTCGATTTACCTGCCTGAGGTGAATTCCCACGACACACCTGCTACATGGCACAGACTCTGCACACTGTGGTTTCCCTACTAACATTCAATGTATTCAGTAAAAACAGCTTAAGGCACACCACTCACAATCCCCACAGAGACAATAAACGGGTTTATAATAAACTCAGTTAAAAATGTATCTGGGAACTTGGTTTTCCCAAACATAACGATCTGGGTTTCACAGTTCTAACCATTTCACCGACCTTTGCCCCATTTCCTCAGCTTTTCTAGAAGGAATCAATACAGATTGAATCCCCTCCAGTGATTCTACTTTCTTAAGGCCATAGTTCAATCCAGCTTTTAACAATTAGTTCGATTGTGCTTTCATGGAAATAAACTCTGTTATTCTTCTCAGGGTGTGAGTCTCGCTGTTCATGGATCGCTCTCAAACACTTTTGGAAATCCAATTTGCCTCAGAAGTGTCTACTATTTCCAAGTTTTCATAAAAATTGTCCCCCACGTTTTCTCACTTTTTTACTTCCTTCTCCACTCCGGAAAAGACCGTAGGCTCTGGTTCTCTCTTTTCCTTATGACATCGTCCCTGGAACGCGCTCGGCAGTTTGTTGCCGGGGAGCTCCCAGGCATCACCGTGCATTATTCAGAGCCGCCACTAGGTGGCGGTGGATACACACTTCTGAGGAGGTACGCACCTGCGAGACTAGGCAACCGCGGTCTCTGAAGGTTCTGCGTCTTTGGAGGGTAAGCGATAACAACAATTATTTATTAACATTAAGTAACTTGGAAAAATGAGATAAGTATAATGAAAATACTTATAATCAAGCAGAAGCTATCTCAAGCAAAAGGCTTCTCATGTCACCTCTGGTTACTGAAGTTAATAGCAATCAGATTCTAGATAAGCACCCCAAGCCCAGCTCGTTGCGTTTCCTTCTTCTCCTTTATTCCATAATATGTTCCTCTGTGCACCTCATATTCACATACCTGTATAAAGTGCACAACGCCTTTTTGTACACCGTGAAGGACTTAGGGGTGCATACTTTGTGCATGTTATTGGTCTGCAGGTTTTACACTACCAGTGCTAATCTGATGTGGGACATGACTGGTGGCAGTGGTTGCCAAACTTGTTCAGTTGCAGGACTTCCTTTTAAAAAATAAATTATGAAAATCCTCTGACACTATAAGTTTATAAAATGGATCATTTTAATATACCCTGGTCGAGAGGCCACCTGGTGGCATAGTGGTTAAGTTCATGTGCTGTGTTTCGGCAGCCTGGGGTTCATGGGTTCAGATCCCTGGGCAGGGACCTAACACTGCTAGTCAAGCCATGCTGTGGTGGTTTCCCACATAAAGTAGGGGAAGATCAGCACAGATGTTAGCTCAGGGCCAATCTTCCTCACCAAAAAAAAAAAAAAAAAAAACCTTAGTTGAGGAAATTCATACAAAACTGCAAAATCAGCAATGTTTTTCAATGAATAGGCTTTCATTTATCAGTGCATCAACTAAATACATTTAAACACAGCCATATTATTTATTTGGTGGTTGGCAATGCTTGGTTTGCCCACATCTTTGTGAGCACCTTCCAGTAACAATGTTTGGGAACCACCAAGGTGGTGCTTTGGCATCAGATAGACTCAAGTTCAAATGTAACTGTCAGTTTCAGTCTGTGCTTCTTAAACTCTGTTGGCCTCATACTTTTCATCTGTAAAATGGGCATAATAACCTTTTCTTAGGAAGGTTGCTATGAGGATTAGAAATAATGTAGGAACTATCATCAGCATGAAGCCTGCAGGTGTGTGGTCAGTAACTGCAGTATTGATTGTTAAAAGATAAGTTTCACTCTTAAGCAGTTTTGCTATATCTGCAATAATTAGAGACAATTTTTATCCTTTCGTATTGGGCTCCAGATTCTCTGTCCTGTGGTCAGCCAGCTGAGCTACTTGTCCCTGGATTTTGTCTGCATAGACTCCCCAGCTGCACCAGCCCCAGCCTCTGCTCCTCTCTCCCAGGTTCTGCCTCCATGAGTCTTCCCTTCATTTCCCCAAGTCCTCTCTCATTCTGTGCTAAAAGGAACCATCCTTTCCAATATCACACACTCTCCTCTTTACTCGGTCTCCCAGTCTTCCTCTATCTGTCTCTTTTCCTCTATACGTTTCAGTATCTTAAGTTATGTCATTATCTATTCACCATCGACTCTCTCTCCATCTTCCTGGTCTCTCCAATTTCCTGTTCAAATTGACACCAACCCATCATACTTTTATTTTAGCTCAAGGGAAAAAATTAGCATTATAACCCACATATAAATAAAAGAATGGCCAACTCATCATGTCATTGGATGTAGTCAGTCGTTGTCTTATTTCCTTCTTTTAAATCTCTCTCAACTTCTAACACTTACTCCTGCATGCTGGCTCCTTTCGAAGTGTGCACTTGGATAACTCATCCCATAATTTAACCAGGTCTACCCGACAGCTTACACTCCGTCTGCCTCTCTCACACACAACATTCTGGAAGCATCGCTTACCATCAACACTGCCTCCCTCTTTTGAGAGGCCCCCAAATCACTGAGATAACATTTTTAGTCTGGTCCCCTTTTCTCTTAACATAGGTTGGCCCTTGAACTTCCCACTTAGAAAGAAACAGATCTCGGCTCACTTAGAACAGAACAGCCGTCTCCAGGCTTGTCCGGCAGACATTGTCTCCACACTGTGGGCCCCAGCCTCCCCAACACTTCTGCTCCCGTCACATGTGGCCTGTGCTCTGAGACAGGGTTGTCTTACTTCGAGTCTGTAGTCCGGTCTATAGATTAATCGACACACCCCTTCATCTATCACCATTCATCTATTTGATTTCCTTTCTTTCCTATTTTACCTACACTTCTGCTCCCCAGAAAATTCTTTCCAGGATTTGACCACCAATCCCTCCCAATTCCCACTGGTTCCCTAAGCAATCAAGTCGGTTTGCAGAGTTTGTTTCTGTGAACTTGCCTGTTAAGTATCTACTTTCTCTCCCTTGCACCTTTTGCTCCCCTGTCCACCTTCTGCCTTGTAATTCAGCAGACCCAAGTGTGATTTCTAGCATGGACGACTAAGCATGTGAATTTGGACAGTGATTTGTGTAAAAGGAAAGTGTAGATGATCTCAGACATCTGTCCCCTCTCTGACATTTATTGAGGATCTAATATGTGCATATTCCTTTAAAGATTGTATTTTTAATTTCCTCCAGTCTCCTAAGAGGTAGACCAATAATACTCAGAGAGGTTGGATATCTGTCCTAGGGTCACACAGCTCAGAACTGGTAGAGCAGAGACTTAAGCCTAAGTCTGGTTATAAATTTCATGTCTTTCCATTAGTCATCTTCCAAGGGCAAGATAGGACTCAGGAGAAAGAATCTGAGCTGCTGGGAAAGCTACTTTTCTTTATTTATAGCTTCTCTAACTAGAGTGTTATCTCCTCAAAGCTTGGAGTATTACGGGAGGCTTCAGAAAGATAGCTCATCTGTGAAAGAAAAATAAAATAATCTGGTAAAAGTCATTGTTTTCCAGAATCTAGACTCCCGAGAGGAAAAGTCTTTGCTTACAAGATAGCTTTCTGCACGTTCCCGTGGTAAGTTGAGCCCCAGCAAGTCTAGGGAAATGCCTACTTAACGTGGTTAGAAATACGTGCCAGGAAACTAACCTTTGAAGGATGTCAGGACTCAGTTGAAAATGAGCACAAGAACACAGGGGATCCACCATTTTCTGCCTGATAATCCTCATTCTTCTTTCAAACATGAAGTCAAACATGATTGATTCTGAGAAGCACCTCTTTATTTCACCCCCTCCTGGTTGGGTTGGCGGTTTCCCCTCTGTGCTGCCATACTACCCTGTGCAGGACGCTGTGGCAGACCCTGTTAGAATTGCTGCTCACCGACTCACCCTTCTCCCACTCTGCTCTGTGAGCACTTTGATGGAAGAGCCTGGATTTTATCTCTGAGTTATCAGTGCCTAGCACAGGTCCTGATGCAGAATGAGTGTTCGTTTGTATTGTGTATATGTCAAAGGGTGTGTGTGGGGGGGGCATTTGGAGAGGTGGAAGAGGAGAGGAAAGGAGAAGTGAGAAAGAGGGAAAATGGAGAAGGAAAGAGAGGAGACAAAAGAGAGAAAAAGAGGTGAAAATAGACGGATCCAGTGGAACCACTATGAGATGGATCTGGATCCATGTTCCATTAGTTACCCACATGTTTCCCTAATAAGGGGGGCAGTGATGGTGCTTTAAATCCTTAAGTATGAGCTTCAACTCACATGCTATATGCCATAGCTCTTAAAATATCTGAGTATGCCCCTTTCTCCAGTGATGGACACCCAGATAAATGACTATAGGGTTTGAGGGCAAGTCTAGGGAAATCACAGTGGATAGCCTCATCATGGTATTATAGGTCCTACTTCTTGTGCCTCAGACTCTTCTTCGCTTGATAATACTGAGCCTGAAAACTGGTTCAAATCTGGAGACTGGGCAAAGGGATCATGCGTTCATCGGGGTAGCTGGTCTGAGCCTTCTCATTCATTCTTGATTGCTTTCCTTTATGTATACTAAGCAGTCCTCTTGTTGGTTGCCAATATATCTTGTTCCGTTTGCCTTATCCAAAGAGCCACGCAGTTCAGCCTCCTTCTGTTTGCTATTTCAACCTTGCTGCCTAATAGGGCAAGTCTGAGCACTTTGCATCTGACAGTTAAGTGCTATTCTGGTGACCTCTACCCTCTTGCCACTAGGAAGCCTGGTTCTGTCACAGCATCTTCTAACAACAGCCTCAGCTGATGTCCACTTTTATCCCCTTGCTAAGAAAAATGTCCTCCAGGCCTCCCTCCAAAGGAACACGGTCAGCCATTGGATTTTTCAGTCTTATATAACAGCTCCATTATATCATCTCCACTTTTATGAGCCCTTTGATCCCTTCCTTCAGAGTCTTCTAAGGGTATTTTTAGTATATCTATGTAATTTAATGAAGGCTGTCACTTTTTCAAAAATTCCATGAGTCAGCAGATAGCATATATTACAGCCATTTCCCAGGACCCTTGCCAGGACGTTAATCCTGCCTGAGGGGTGGTGGCTCCCTATCAGCAAACTCTCCCCTATTCAGCTTTATGTTCCAACCACCCTTGGTCTCCCGCCTGCTAGATTCACTCCTGGGCACGCTCTCCCAGTGCCTGCTCGTGCATGTTAGCTAGTTCTTGCAGCAGCTTTGATGTATAATATCTCTTTTCTGTTAGCAGCCTTAGCTCTTCCTTAGTTTATGTGGAGATTTAACCTAATTTAAATCTGGTGGAAGAAAAAGAAATGGAGGCATATCCTGAGGAAGACAAGCCTTGTCTTATAAGGCTCGTCCCTTATCTGAGCTTTCTGTGTGTTCCTAAAGTAAGAGGGGGAGGCATGTCTTCAACATGAGATTGTGTCATTTCTGCAGGTTAAGAGAGTTCAGAGGCATCTGGGTGTTCAAGGTTCTCAACTGTATCTGTTCAGGAATTCATCATACCAAGACTAAGGGTCCCACGCTTTCCCTATCAGGGCCCCATCTTTGAAATAGGAGACTTGTTCGGCTGAATGAACCTTCTTTGAAATTCTGTTACTTTTGTAATTAAATTCTATGTCTGCTCTATGCTTTGTCCATCCTCTGACTACAGAGAGTGAAGGTCTCCTTAAATGTTACCAAAGAGGCTGCTGACTCTCACACTGTGCTTTAAAGAGAGCTGAGCCTGTCCTTGTCTCCCC